AGTTCCGATTGTTATAATATTTACTACAAAATATGTAAAAAGCCCTATAATTTATACATATAGATTAGTAAGGAGTATATATATATATATATATATTTACACATATATATATATATATTTTACATATGATAAGGGTAATTGATAAAGATCCAATTGTCCAAACAATGAATGCGAATAATGGTATAGCAAATAAAGCGGCCCAAATAAAAGTTAAATCTCTCAGTATTTGATATTTATTAGAAACTCGGTAAATATAGCTTACAGGTACTTGTAACCAAGTTGGTGTAAAATTCAAGATTTTGGTTTTGTTGAAAACTAAATTTTTTGTTTTAAAGATTGAATTTAAGGCACCTCCTATCAAGCCATTATTATTATTATCATCCTCCGCATCATTGAAACCATTGCTACCACCAATACCATTGCCGCCATCATCACCACCGCCTCTACCATTACCAATTCTTGAACTTCTTGACATTAAAAAATAATTTTTTTTTAAAAAAAAAACCTTTATAAAAATAAAAAATAAAGGGAAACAAAGTATTCTTTTTTTCAGGAAAAAAATTAAAATGATTTTGATCATTTTAATCAAACAATTATTATTTATTACGATTATTAATCAACGTCATCATTATCAAAACATCTTTGATCCTCGCTTTATTTAAAACTCAGATTGCCTGATTTCTTTATTCAAAGTTAAGAACATTTGTATATATATTATAAAAAATATGTACCATCATTACCAACCGTCCTAGATAAACATAATAAATTTACTTTGGCCAAGAAAGGAGGTATTTGTGGGATTTTCAGGATAAATATAAATACAAATGTAAATAATAAAGACTACGTCGGGAACTCTAGGAATGGACGATTTTCCACAATCTGTGTAAAAAGAACTTTTTTGGGGTAAAAGAATCATCATTTGGTCTCTTTACTATTACACGAATTCAAATGGTTCTTCTTTCGTACCAAAAGTTATTCAAGGAAAAAAAAGTGAAATTTGCCAACAATGCTAGATAGACAGTTGAAAAAAACATTGAATGAATCAGCACTAAAAAAAGCAGATAGTAATAGCATCATGTATGTTTGTGCGAAAGATGTTAGTTAATTGAGAAAATATACACACGCGCTTTGTCTGTGTCACATATGCAACAATGTTGATTTCTTGAATTGTCAATACTAAGACAAAAAAGAAAATAGAAACCATGATAAATTCCTTTGAATTTGAAAATGAAATGATGAGCTGTTTTGAAAAAAAAATCAATACACGACGCATATTTTCGCTTCGGCAAGTTACATAAAAAATTTTGATCGTGATGACAATTACAGCGATATTATTGATAAGCTTAAGAAAAAATGTTGTAGAATTAGATGTATGTAAACGTTGGTAATAATGATTAATCAAAAGGGGTGAAGGACAATGAGCCTGGACATAATAACAACCATCTTCATTTTATTTTCTTCCTGGACATAATAATCTTCTTCTTCCTGAACATGGTAATGACTATCCGCACAACAACGAGCCTGGACCAGTACGACTATCATCATAATAATATAATAAGTAATAGTTATTTAATTTAAAACAAAAGATAACATGAAAGGTATTGTTATTGTCGCATACCAGTAAAGGTTTTGGATGAAAAATCTTGAATTGTATATTTTAATCGACGCCACCTCTCATGTAAGTATACTTGTGTCCTAATTATATAATTAATAAATTAGCATGTGTAAATTATTGTGTTAAAATAAACTGGTAGATTGTTTACTTTACCAAGGACCCCATTCATCATCATTCAATGATTCCCAATTAAAAGAATACTCTTCCTTTTGCTTTGATTGGTATAATCTTATAATTTTAAATAATTTTAATTTTAAGTGTAAAATTATAATTAAAGAAAAGATCATATGAATATTAATATTCATACTTATTAACAAGGATATAACTATCTTCACTACACCATTTTGATATCTCTCCCCCTTTCTCCATTTCATATATAAGACGTAACTTTCTTCCCCTAAATGAATTATATATATATAACAAGTAAATTTTTTTCTTTGTTATCGATCATCCATGCTTTAAAACAATCATATAAGACCCAATCAAACATACCATTTTTCACGACATTGCTTAGGAGATCGTTTTTTCCCCATTCTTTCTGAAACTATATCCCATGGTATTCCATAATCTAATGTTATTTCATCTTTATATCTTGTTACAATATCAGTAACAATAAGTTTTAATTGATCTTCTTCTTCTTTAGTCCATTCACCTATCATCACCATCATTTATTAAACAAATCAAACAAATTATCAATTTCCAAATTTTCAAAATAATCATATATACACTTTTTTTTAATTCGTTTAATTTATAAATTAATTAAATATATTTTTAATAATCAACCAACCTTTTCTAGGATTTCGATTACTAATAGAACCATAATCTCTCCATCGGTCACGACATTGAGTACCCATACGTCCCAACTCTGATCCAATTGTTGTCCAATCTTTACCATGAATTGCTACTAATCTAAAATTTTAAATAAAAATATTGTGATAAAGCCCAAATTACATAACAAATATAAAAATAAAAATAAATATTGTCATTACTTACTGATTTAATCTCTTGTCATCTTCTGGTGACCATTTTCCTGTATAATTGTGGTGATGAAATAATCTTTGAACATGTATACACACATTTTTTAGTGGCCTTGTTCCCAATGGAGTTGCTTTTAATCCACAAGTATTATATTTAGTGATAATATATTACACTAATATAAATATATAACAATAATACATATATGATTTACCAATTTCACGCCAGAAACCTTTATGCTCAGCTGGTGTAGTTCCATATATTAACTTGTGAAGTTCATTATCAGTCAAATTGTTTAGCTACATAAATATATAAATATAAATATAAATATATGCATCTCTCTATAATAATTCAAG